TTAAGGTATGAAATCACAGGAATTCCTTCAATGAGTCTATTGGAATCTTTTCCAATCAATCCGAGGACTCCGACTACAACTGGAATTTCTGATGTCCACATGAGCCACATTTTTGAGCTTTCGATTTCAAGGTCCCTGTATCTTGATAGTCTTTTGAAGATCTTCAAAGATACATTGCAGTCTGCAGGGACTCCCATATCAATAAGGAGGCACGTTTTGTCTTTGTGGTCTCAAATCACGTTATTATTATTATTATTATTATTATTATTATTATTTATTTGTTATTCATTATTAAAATTATTATTAATTTTGTTGTTGTTGCTATTGGTTATTATTTATTAAGAATTATTCGAATTTGTGTTTGTTCTTATTTTAGTACTTTAAAAAAAATAGATTTAGTTATTGTTTGCCTGTATTTATTGATATTAATAGATTTTAATTATTTATTGGTGTATTTACTGAATAAAATAGAAAGATTTCTAGCATACATAATGAGGAAATACGGCATGGACTCCCAGAACGAATTGAGAGATGGAATCATTAGAGGGGAAAATAATAAGCAACTTAATGGGTGAATGGATAGCAGAAAAGTGTCAAGCGGGATAGTAAATAATTCAAATTTGCATAGAGATAAAAGGGACAGAAAGTTGTGGAGAGTCATAATCGTTCACGTCCAAAAGGATGATAGTTTTGATCTATTTACGTGGAGCCCACAACAAACAAAATGCCGCAAAATTTGGCCTAAATCTTAAAATAAGAAAAAGTAAGATCAATCCAATTTGAAATTTGACGATATTAACAAAAATATTGAAGACAACGAACTGTATTAGTACGGAGAGTGAGTTCTGGCCCGGGCATTGAACTAGAAGTGCCAACTTCGGACAGTTGATGAGAATCTAATTGTACTGAAAGTGGTCAGTGTTTAAATCCGAATTCTTTTGGCTCTGATAATGACAGAACTTTGGTGAAGCGACAATTTTCTTTCGTCGTCTGGCAGTCTTTTAACAACGAAGTCTGCATAAAGTCCGCGAAGAAAAGTTTTAAATATAGACATTTTGCCAAATGCTGAAAGTTTAAAATGCTGATGAATCACTAAGCGACGAGGTTCGCATGAAAATGTTCAGGAAACGGGAAAGAACGTGTTTCAATGGTCGATACACGATTGTGGGGAAATAATTACCAAGTCGTTCCATCGGTAATGTCCAAAATCTGATAGCGAGAGAATGATAAATGCTTGAATGATAACAATACAGTCTAGTAGATGTTAGTACATTTCAAATAAATAAGCAACTTTGTCATAACAGAACTCAAGTAACTTTGTTACTAACATGAGCTTCCTAAAGATAGACGTGTCTACAGAACACATAAAACATGTATTTCGCTTTGAGCTTAGGAAAGGCAATAACGCAGTCGAGTCAACATGAAATACTCAGCGTATTTATGGAATAGATTCTTTCATTTCACTATCTCCTTATTCTCTAGAACTCATTCCTGCTGATTCTCAAGAACGTTTTTGGTGGATAAATTCTTTAAAACACGAGTGGAAATTAAGCTTCTTACATTTTTTTTCTTCCATACTGTTGTGGTACGATCCACCTAATTTGCATAGTGGAGTACCGACCATATAAATATGGTTGGTACCGGGAAGAGAGGGAAGAATCAAAAGATTCAACCAGAGACTCTGCACGACTGCGACTAAGTCAACACATTCTCTAGGAACGGTCTTCCCGGGAATATACAAAAGACTATATGTAAATATTGTGTACATTTTCTTGTTTCAATACATTTTGTTCTAAGTACATTTTGTACTTGTTGCATTATTATTCCATGCATTAGTCAAGTTTCAACACATACCAAAAAAATGGTGTTAATAATAAATGAAATAAGTAAATTTGTTCACTTGTCATATGACAATATCTAATCTGAGTTCGCGGAATTACATCCACTCTTCAGGAGACTTGATGATAGTGAACAAATTTATATATTATTAATTCTCTATCTCTTGATATTGAACACTCTAGTTACAAAAATAACTTGCCTTAAATACGTTACCTTTCAGAAGTCATTTTTTTTTAAATTACAATCTTTTTTATACATACGCAAACATTATATATATATATATATATATATATATATATATATATATATATATATATATATATATATATTATTTATAAAAAAATTATAACATAAGTATGTTATAAAATCACTACAAAAATAGCCATTTTGTTTCCAACACACTCGGTGTCTTATCAAGTGATGATGTTTTTTTTTTTTGTTTTTTTTTATCTTCAACATAACAGGTGATACCACCCCGGGTCAAGGTGGACCTGGGAACAGCAGCAATTAAGAGGTGGTTCCACGCTCCTCAAAACCTCCTGATCAGAGACCTTGCTGCTGGATGTAATTTAACGTCTTACCCAGGATGTGGATGTAGTTTAACGTCTTACCTAGGACGCAGATAAGTAAGGATAAGATAAAATTACTAATAAATAATAACCAATGAGAATAAATATGGTGCTTTTCTAGGCGTATCTTAGATGTGGTACAAGACTGAAAGTATGAGGCACCCACTGAGAATCGAACTCACGATTCAGTCGTAAGTGATCTAGCGAAACAAGCTTGCTAACCATTAAACCACTCAAAGTACCCCCTTTAGATTTACTATGTATAGCTTTGCTGTGGCACGAGATAGACATTAAGGAGCATCCAGTGGAGATTGAATTCTCTACTCAGTCTTAATTGACCTAATGGGACAAGCTTACTAACCATAAACCGACTTCGAAGTGCTCCAATAAGAATAAATATGAATAATGAATGTAAAAATATAAAATAATAATAATAATAATAAATTTGCCCCCACTGAATATAAAACCCGGCATGTCAGATTGGGCCAATATCTGCACTGGTAAATCTGCAACATCTACAGTAAGGAAACTAAAAGAAATTGGTATGAACACCACTCTGATCCGGTTACGGAGATAGGGCCTGTAACAATTTTATGGGACTACAAATACACACAGGCAGAACAATCAAAGCTAACCGCCCTGATATTGTTATTACAGACCACAAACAAACAAAATGCCTCCTTATAGACAAGGCAGTCCCTGCGGACTGCAATGTATCTTTGAAGATCTTCAAAAAGCTATCAAAATACAAGGATCTTGAAATCGAAATCTCAAAAATGTGACACATGGGAACATCAACAATGCCTGTTGAAGTTGAACCCCTAGGATTGGTCGGAAAAATATTCCAATAGACTCATTGAAGGAATTCCTGGAAGCCCATGCTTTAAAGAAATACAAAAAATTGTTCTCACGCGTACAGCCCACATTTTACAAAGGGCTTTATCTATGTAAAATATGTGCGTGTGTTTTTTCTGTTTCTTTTTTTTTTTTTTAATTGGTCAGTGGAAAAGGTCATGATGCCATTCCTGATATTAGGTCTCTGGGTGGGGGACCCGGAAAGAAATGTGTACACATCAGAAATCAAAGGAAATAAAATAATAATTATTATTATTATTATAACGTATAAAAATATGAATAAACAATGATGCGTGGTTGTAGCGTGCGTTTCCCTACACATTCTCACTACAGCGGAAACGCATTACCCATCACCTAACTGTGCATACATCCATTGTGTGGTCTCAGTAAACAAGTGTCGATTAATTTCAATTGTAGCGATCTTTTCGCATACCGAAATTCACTGGGGTGTCGTTTTCGTACTAATTTTATGTCAGACACTTTTTTGCCAGAGTACTTTCTGTAAAAAGGAAATAGAATAGATTGACGGAAATTCTTATATTCTACTCTCATACTGTAAATATCCAATTCTGACGTCGTGGATCAGCAGAATAAAATTGGAAGTTCCCTTTTCGGAGCGACCCTTGCATATTTCAGGAAAATAGGTTTCTCAAGTCTCCTAAATCTATTGACGGTGGCTTCTTTCTTCATCTTGATTATGTCATTGTTTTCTCTTCGAATTACTTGTGCTATCCATTTTAGTTGTTGCTGTTGTTGAAAGTTCTCAAATGATGTGGATTCTCTTATTTGCTACAGTTCTTTATTAGTCTATTGATTCTTCAAGGTTCGAAGAAAGATGATCATTACTAAGGCAAACAGGCTTAATTCAAAGATATTTTTAAGCATGGATCTGAGAAAGCGGTTGTATAAAGATAACAGTTTAGATATTTCTGAACGAGTTTATCGCCATGCATGATGTTCACATGAAATTCTTCATCTGATGCGGTTGTTTAAGAACAGGACCCGATTTTTTAGGTGAACGTTTTCGTTTTGTAGCAATTTGCGATGTTGTGCGAAACTACAATTACTGCTGCGTATTCTATACTCAAACTTCACAGCTATGCTTGGCAAGGTACAAATCTTATCTACTGGAAAAGTTATAAATCTATCCCTTCTCTCCTCATCAAAATAACTTAGAAATGAAAATATTTTATCGCTTTGAATACTCTACAAAAGGTTGATAAGTCGAAGAAAATGAATCAATCAATCATTATTTGCCGAACAAGGCCAGTACATTAGGACCATGTTTGTACTTAATGTCGATGATGATTTTTTTAGTGCTTATATTATTTTTAAAAACTTTTGCTTTCTTTTTTACAGTTAGAGGCAGATATTATATTTGTGTTTTCACAATCTTGAAATCAGTTGTCCTGGAACCTGAAACTTGAAATCAGTTTTATCTCGAAATTATAAAGACTTTTTTTTTGTTTTTTTTTTTTTTTTTTTTTTTTTTTTTTTTTATATCTTTGGATACTTCCTCATGAAAATGTTTATTTTAACATATCTTTCTTTTACTTGTAGACTGGTTTTGAAAGGCAAACCGTACCGATGCACCCACCGACACCACAATCATCATCATCGTCATCATCATCATTGATTCCTCCTCATCATGACGACGCCAGTTAGCACACTACTCACCTCCTCCCTCGATAAATCATCTCTGACAGAATTCTACAAAAGGCCTCTGCCGTTCTAAGCATGTTTAAGTACGCTACACGAGGCATTCGCAATGTGCCTTCCCTGTACACCTGTACACTGTTGGCTATCTGCCTCGGAGCTTCGAATTTCGTCACCGGTGAAACGTCCGAAAGTTATCTGCCAGTCGTGAATACAACACGTGCGGGTTTCGACCTGGAGTCACTACTGTATTTTAACAGCACAGACGATTATCCCGACGAGGACGGTGCTGCTGATGGCGAGAGTCGAAGCATTGACGACGATCCTCGCATTATTAATGGCGAGGACGAGGACGTGGTCGCGAAGTTTTTAGGTCTGGTCGAGGAGTACAAAAAGAACAAGAAAAATTGCACGAAAGGCACTTCGTATAATTTAGGCGCCGGAGTCGTTAGACAGTATGGTCAGAACCGGTTTCGTAATCAAGCGCTCGTTGCCGTAAATCGGGCCAATTTTCTCACAAGAATTTGGAAGAGTGCAGAACCAGAAGTGCTGAACTCTGAGTTTCTCTTATACTCTGCTGTTCGGAATATGGTTGAAGGAGATCCCGATATGTTTGCAGCTGGTAATTGTTATGATGCTAATGAATACAAGGACTATTATTTGTTTTGTCCATACGCTTACATAATGCCGGATGGAAGGATTAATGTTAAAGACTTGTCCGTTGAATATAAATACAATAATTCAAATGAATGGTTTTACCACAGCCGCGTAAACGCTAATGAAAGACTCAAGTCAACAAACCTTACTGTTGGTAAGTCCATTTTCTTCTAACTGCAAATGCGCTTTATATATCGCTATATAACCGATTAGTCATTCATTCATTATTTATTTTTTCATCCCAAGCAAGGTGGGAAGCCACTAGGACGCAAAGGGTTACAGAATATTTGGAGCAAGATCAGATAGGAGTGATAGAAGAAAGGATAAAGAGAAGGATATTGGATAGATCAAGGCAACTGGAGATGTCGATTTACATTACATTTGAATAGTTGGAGATTATAGCTATCAGGGAAACAGGAATAGGGAAGGGAGTTCCACAGGTGAGAGGTGCGAGGTATGAAGCTATTGGAGTAGAAGAGACGGCTACATTTAACAATTTCAACAGTGAAAGGTTGAGAGCGGGATGCCAGCCTCGTAGGGCGCTTGAATTCATGAAGTCTGGGAAGCAGTGAAAGCAGCTTATCGGAGCAATTACCATGAAAGTATTTGTAAAAAAGACAGAGAGAGGCGACGGCGCATCTGTGGGCGAGCGACTGTAGACGAGGTGCCAGAACAGGGTCAATTGCATTGCATATCCGTCTCTGGATCTTATCAAGAACCCGAGGCAAACAGAAGGGGCGCCAGACCATATATGGCAGCAATACTTCATGCAAGGGCGAATGGTTGATTTGTAGATTTCAAGTTAGCGCCTTTTGCGTTTCTGTTGTCTCTACTCCGCTAAATCTCACAATTATGGTTAATGGTGACATTCAATGCACAATAGTGCAGTTGCATGCCCGTTTCTTTCGCACCAGGGTTGATGGTAACCTGTCCATCCCCTCAGTAGGACCTAAGTTTGAATTCAGAATTTTCCTTCTCCGAGACTAGTTGCTAACATGGTCCTGTCTACCCTGCTATTTACCCATCGCTGGTGGGGAGATGTATTCTCAATCGTGGAAACGTAAGTTTCTATGTCATACACTTTACGCTGTTTGTTTTTTTTAGTTTTTTTTTTTGTTTTTTGTTTTTTTTTGGCTATCCATTCACACATCATTATTTATTCAGTTATCACATATGGTCCCCATTACTTTCTATCTCACAACTGGGGTTCATGGCGTCATTCAAGACAGGATATTAGAATGGATGGTCGGTTGCTTTTGAAATGGAGATATTGAGGTCAGATGGTAAAGGGGTATGCCCTACAAGTTAGCAGGTGGTTTGAATTTAGAGTTTTTCATCTCCTAGACTAGTAATTGTATATGTAGGCCGTGCGCTGCCCAGACTACATGGCATTCCCCTCGGCCGTGCCAAGATCCAGATAGATAGAAACTGACTTAGATAAATAGATAGATTGATAGATAGATAATCTATTTATTTCAGTTTGTTCATATCTATGTACCTATTTTTATATCTCAGTTTCTTCATATCTATCTATCAATCTAGTATCTATTTTTCTCAGTCTGTTCATATCTATTTCAGTCTATTCATATCTATCTATCTATCTATCTATCTATCTGAGTGTATTCGTACCTATCTATCTATCTATTCTAGCCGATTTCTTTATTTATCCACCTATTAGTATCTATTTATCTATCAGAGTGTATTCGTATCTATCTATCTATCTATCTATCTATATATATATATATATATATATATATATATATATATATATATATATATATATATATTCTAGCCGATTACTTTATTTAACCACCTATTACTATTTATCTATCTATCTACCTATCTGAGTGTATTCGTATCTATCTATCTATCTATCTATCTATCTATCTATCTATCTATCTCTGTGTTTATTTATTTCGGTCTGTTCATATCTATGTACATATTCTTATATCTCAGTTTCTTCATAGCTATCAATCTATTGTCTATTTTTCTCAGTCTGTTCATATCTATTTCAGTCTATTCATATCTATCTATCTATCTATCTGAGTGTATTCGTATCTTTCTATTCTAGCCGTTTTCTTTATTTAACCACCTATTACTATCTATCTATCTATCTATCTATCTATCTATCTATCTGAGTGTATTCGTATCTATCTATCTATCTATCTATCTATCTATCTATCTATCTATCTATCTATTCTAGCCGATTTCTTTATTCATCCACCTATTACTATCTATCTATCTATCTATCTATCTATCTATCTATCTATCTATCTCTGTGTTTATTTATTTCCGTCTGTTCATATCTATCTTTCGGACAACTTCAAGCATTATCCCGCTCGAAACCTCTGCTACAATGTGAAAATTTTTGTCACTTTTTTTTAAAGCGACGTTCTTAATCTTCTTTTCTTTCACCGTTTGGGGAAGGCTTATATATACATATACCTTTTATATTTCTGTGACCACCAGTGGACGTCTGTACCAAGTAAGGGCGGGCCTACTGAAGAGATATCTGAAAAGTATAGTCATGTGCAGTGGGTTCAACCACCATCAGCAATAAGGACAAGGAGTAGTGGTTAACGAGCTAGTCTGTTTCACTATTACTACAGCAGTACTAAGTTCGATCCTCACTAGATGACTTACACTTGTGGTATTGTACCAAAACAGAGGGAGGCATATAAAATTTAAACGGCACCTTGGCGTGGGAGTAATAGCTAGAGAGCCTAGTCTGGTTGACCATTACTACTGAATAGGATCCTCACTAGGGGATCGACACGTTCGTTGGGCAGACTCCAACCTGTTGCCCACATTACTTTCCTTGCATTTACTATGTCAACATGACCTGTGAGTGTCCAGTTCTCCAGGCCTTCTTTACTCAGAAATTGCAAGTGTCTTTATCCGGTCGTAAGTTTTCGAACTCTTTATTTGCTTCAAACGTCTTCCCTACTCATATATTGTATCTATGACATTCTCAGCATCCTTCAATAGAACCACTATGTCGCATCAAGTCTCTTCATCATCTGTGAGGAGACCGTCCAGTATCCACTGACATATAAGTGATTACATATTACATAACAGTTCAACTCTTTCTTTTTCTAATTTTCCATTGATTTGTACTTTGCTTGATTTCTGGAAGAGATCTTTCGCGATTTCTAAATACTATATGTTGATATTTTCTGTCATCTGTTACTACAAAAAACACATCGTTGAATTTCTGTAACTTATTGATTTTGACATCTCAATATGTAGCACACACTTTGGGGCTGGCAGTCATGCATTTTCTTTTCTCACAGCTGATATTGTGTTGAAACAAACGTTTCTATTGTTTTTCAGTGAATTTTACAAAGACTTTTATTTATTCAGTCTCATATATGCTATATTGTTTTTTTAAATTCCACTGGATAGCTAACTAGCTCCGTCTGTTCAGATAGATAGATAGATAGATAGATAGATAGATAGATAGATAGATAGATAGTCTATTTATTTCAGTCTATTCTTTTCTATCAACTTCCATCTGTTCATATCTATCTATGTACCTATCTTTATACATCAGTTTGTTCAGATCAATCTCTCTATCTATTATCTATTCATCTATCTATTCATATCTATCTATCTATCTATTTTGGTCTTTTCATATCTATCTATCTATCTATCTATCTATCTATCTCGGTCTGCTCATATCTATCTATCTATCTATCTATCTATCTATCTATCTATCTATTTCGGTCTTTTCATATGTATGTCTGTACGTATCTATCTATCTATCTATCTATCTACCTCGGTCTGTTCATATCTATCTATCTATCTATCTATCTCAGTCTTTTCATATCTATCTCGGACTGTTCATATCTATCTATCTATCTATCTATCTATCTATCTCAATGTGTTCATGTCTATTTTTCGAACACCTTCATGCATTATCCCTTTCGAAAACTCTGCTACAATGTGAAAATAGATACACAATCTTTGTCAGTTTTATGAAGCCACTTTCTTTAATCTCCTTTCTTCCCCCGTTTTTTGAAACAGCATTTTAAGCTGATTTTTTTTCAAAACCTCTACCCCAACTCTATTCATTTTTTTCTATTTTTCATCAAGTTGAAAGCGTGACTGTTCTCTGCATCATCAGAATGACCACGAAATTTTTCATCCTTCGTTTTACTTAGATAATTTTTTTTAAAATCCTTTAAATGAATGAAAATCGATGATTAATGCATTGATTCCCTCAAACTAAGCCAAGTCAGTCCTTTTTTTTTTGTTTTGTTTTGTTTGCTGTACAAATTGAACCTTGTAGGACAAACACTGTTTTCCACTGCATTAATTTCGATCATGGCCAAGTGATGGAATGTTATCAAAATAATCAATTCAAAGAGACTTTGTAATTGTCTGTTAGGTGCCAATTTAGGTAACGAACAAAATATTTCCAAGCGTTAAAAGAAAAGTCTATGTAGAATTTATTCTACTGAAAATGATTTCCTTAGAATTTTGGCATCGGTACCTAAACTTTTTTATTCCATAACCTTAAACTTTGGTGGCCATGTCACTGTTTACACGGGATAAAAAAATAGATCAATCCTATCCAATGCTTGAAGAAATGTCAATATTCTAAATAAATATTCTAATATAATACACGTGTACATAGTTAAATATAGCAGATTTTTAAACAATATATACATATATATATATATATATATATATATATATATATATATATATATATATATATATATATATATAAAAGTGAACATGTCTCAACACTTAAACGACACTGTTTCATCTAGACACAATCATCTGACGATTTTATCTAGCACGAATGTTTTTTATATATACACAACTCTATCTCTGATATTGAGCACTTTATCCCATATATATAACACGCCTTAGGAGTATATTTCTTTATATATATATATATATATATATATATATATATACTACAGTTCAAAGTTTAAAGCCACACCCAGAAATAGCATGAACTTGGCAGAAGAGTGAAAAACAAAATGAAAAAGAGCTCTTAGAATCATTGAAAAAAGAATAGAATCATTTATCAAACATATACTTTGAGAAACTTTTGCAACGAATGTCAGAAATTTTCGCTGCAGTAATCAAGGCTAAAGGAGGATATTTTGACGTGAGCAAAATATAATCATAAAATGATTTTTTTTTTTAAAAAATTTTGTCACAATAAAATTTCTAATAAAAAATCATGTCTCATTTTTTTAACCATAAGAATTTCCTCTTATTTAAAGTACAAAACAACTATTTAAGGGGGGTGGGGAATTTAAAAAATTAACTGGGGCGGTTTCAAACATTTGAACTTTAATACACACACGCATATATATATATATATATATTGTGAAGAAAAGGAAAGAGGAAGAGAGAAGGAGTTACTTACGGACGGGTTGCTTCAGCCTCGGAGGAATTGTGTCCAGCTAAACTGGAACCAAATGACCAACTGATATTTATGGTCTTGGTCGGAGGAGGATTGTGGGAAGCAGTTAGCCTCCTTATAAAAACCCTCCACTGTATTCTGATTAGACCTATTTTCTCTATCAGCCGACACGTGACTGGTTATTTGTCGTGCTGAACGATTATTTCTTCTTTTTTCTTCTCTGTTACTCGACCTAGTTGGAGCAGGTCGCAAGAGGAGGATTCCTTTTGCAACCCTTACCAGGCTGTCGCTGCTCTCTTCTGGGTTTTCCCTACTTTACTGTGTCGAAAGTTTTTTTTTTCGACAATAAATAAATATATATATATATATATATATATATATATGTTTTAGTGGACTCAGCAATTTTCAATCTGCTTGTCTAAATCATCTTCAAGAAGGGAGAGCAAGATCTAAAAGGTCAGCCAATCTAACACTGATCTCATCTCACAATCTTCACACTTACTCCATATGTGGCCTCCTTTGTAAATCACTAACGGGTCTTAAATGCCACTTAAGATTATCGCACAAACTTTCATAACTGAATCAATAAGCTGTCAGATCCTCATACGTCGAAACCGGCGGGAGAGTCCATTATTATTATTATTATTATTATATATATATATATATATATATATATATATATATATATATATTATATTAATATCTGGTTGAAATATCAAAATAAAAAACAGAAAATATAATACTAAAATAGTATGATATTAAAAGTCTGTAGTTATTAAACAAAACTGTATAATCTGCTAGAAATCTGCAGTAAATAAATAGCATGATAATTAAGTAACCTCATAGGCAATCTGTTTTAAAACTATAATAATATGATGTTATAATAATATCGGAGTATATTTTGGCATAAACACATACAGGATATTCATTTGGGACATAAGCTCCCTGAGGCTGACCTCCGCAGCTATTAGAGGTCACCGGAGGTTATCAAAGAGCACGGCGTCTAGTTTCTACCCAAATAAAGCCATTTCGAGTAAAATAGGCTAAGATATTGATTTTCGTAAGAAATATAAATATATTTTCACCTCACAAATAGATAAGATCAAATTCGATCTCCAAAGTCACAGAAGTTCATTTGAAGTAGAATTAGTTTGTGGCTTGTATGAACTGTGTACTGCAGCCAGCCAATTAAATTCTTGGCAAATTGGTACTTGTGGGTAACTTGAACAGAAAGAAAATGTTAGGATAGGTGCTGATAATATTTGTGAGTCAGGCATTCTTGCTCCATAGAATTGCACAGTCGAAGAAATAAGCTAAAAGCTATTCCGACGGATTCCTGGGGGAGATTCTGCTTTACGAGTCAATTGACAAAATCCAAGAAACATTTTAGATTGTTCATAACGAAAATGAGTTTTTCATTTCTCTTAAGCTGCGTGGTGTTCATCCTAACAGGCTTCAGCTAGAAGTTTGAAAATCACTTATATCAGTAAACTACTTTTCGTTCAAAATATTGCAGAAACACATTTTTTTTTACATGGAGGTAAGTGTTTATTTAAAGTTTTGATAGGTTTATTGACAGCCTGACAGCCTTGACAATCGAAAATTTAACTAATCTTTTTCTACGGGGGACACATCTGTAAGAATTACTTGAGGAATATAACGTGAGCATCTTTCTATATAGTTTTTAACTATCCAGTAATCTTGAAAAATTAGGAAAAGATTCCTTTACTTTGATACTTCATTTCTTTTAAGCTGCGTGGTGTTCCTCCTAACAGGCTTCAGCTAGAAATTCGAAAATCACTTATATCAGTAAGCTACTTAACTTTCGCTCAAAATATTGCAGAAATACATTTTTTTTTATACGGAGATAAGTGTTTACTTAAGGTTTTGAAAGGTTTATTGACAGTCTGACAGCTTTATTGACAATCGGAAATTAAACTAATCTTCTTTTTACGGGGTACAGATCTTTAAAAAAATTACTTGAGGAATATAACGTGAGCATATTTTTATATAGTTTTTAACTATCCAGTAATCTTGAAAATATTCCCTTACTTTTATACTTTGTTTTTAAATTTACTATACTTACTGCTCTAATTCAATATTTAAATAATGTCGTGTATGAACATCCGTATTTACAAAAATCGGCACGTTTATACACGCAGACAAAATTTTAAATTCTTTTTAAAATACTGGTGAATCGCTGAATTGCTGTAAGCTTTTCCATTTATGATTAGTAAGTATAGGTTTTACTTAATAACAATATCACCTAACCAATAAAACTTAATACAGAATTTTAAAAGATTTTAAACTTTATAAATTATACTAATTAAAATTTAAAAATTAAATGAAAACAATTCTTGTAAAAATTCATTATTCATAGAAAAGATTTTATTAAAACAACAGTGTCCATAATATATCTTCTTTTTTTAATCATTTCACTTCAAGCAAGGCGGGAATGCCACTAGTACGTAAAGGATTACAAGGAGTGAAAGTCAGAGGAAGAATGAGTATAGGGAGGATTGAGAAAAGGACAAAAGATGAACAGGATTCGAGAAGTTGGTGATGACGATTGACGTTGCATTTAAATTTTTGAAGATTGTAGTTATCAGAGAAGAAAGAATTTAAAAGTTTTTTTCTAATTAAATAATGTCTTAGTTTTATTGCATTTTTTTAAAGATTCCGAACATATTTTCAGTAACTGGTGGCCCTGATTTACAAAAAAATGTGAGTGGGTAGGTTGAAGCAGATGTAAAAAAAATCTTTTTACCCAGATTTCCTAAAATTAAAAGAATAAGCCCTGAAAGTTTTATTAAAATCCAACAGTTATTTGATTCCATTTCAGTCTTCAGCTATAAGTTCGAATATCAGTTATGCTTAAATACTCAAAATGTGGGCAGAAGAACTCGCTTGGTTGTTTAGCAGCAGGGGTTAGTCATAGAGACAGCAATCCTAAAAGGCCCATATTGTCTTTCCAGTCATCCTCATGTTTCATGAGACTTCTTCGAGACGTAAGGGGATTATGGCTCCCGAAAACCTACTCATCGTATTTCCTAGTAACGTCTTTCTTTTTACCATCTCTCCCACCTCTCCTCTTTCTGCCATCGATTCACACAAACTAGAAAGTTAGGTGTCCTGCTACTTTCCAATGTCATTTTTTTCTTTTTGTCCTATGAGTGTGAAATTCTCCAAGCTGTCCTTCATTGTTATATGTCCAAACAAATTCAACTGTCTCTTTTTAATTCTAAGTAAAGTACCATTTTTTCCCCATTTTTCTTGAGATTTCTTTGTTGCTTGCGTTCGTCATTTGCAATTTAAGCTCTTTTAATTCCCAATGTGGTTTAGAGGCGCCATGCTGAAGAATAAAACACAAAGACAATCTCTCAGTATCACCGGCCTCAGTCTGACTTCTTTGTTCATTTACCATGTCAGATCTATATTGATTGTTCTAGGGTAAGATCTTCAAAATTCTTTTTATCCTACCAACGAATGGAAGATTC